AACACCCCATTATCTCAATAGATAGGTCACTCCAACAAAAACATCAATAAAAGAAATCCAATAAAAATTACATAAATAGATCAAATGGACCTACTTGATGTCTACAGAACATTTCATCCAACTTCTACACAAATATACATTCTTCTCAGCAGCCATATGGAACCTTCTCCAAATAAGATCATATCTAGGGCACAAAGCAAGCCTCAGCACAATATAAGAAATAGAAATATACATGCATACTGTCTGATCACAATGCAATAAACTAGAATCAACAACAAAAGTAAAGACAAAAATATGCAAACAGCTGGAAACTGAAACTCATTACTTAATGAACAATGGGTCATGATGAAATAAAAGAGGAAATTAAAAAGTTCCTGGAAGTCAATGAAAATGAAAACACAACCTACCTGAACCTATGGGACACAGCAAAGGCAGTCCTGAGAGAAAGTTTGTTAGCCATGAGTGATATATTAAAAAGACTGAAAGATCCCAAATCAATGACCTAATGATACATCCCAAACTCCTAGAAAAACAAGAACAAGCAAATCCCAAAACAAATAGGAGAGAAAATTAATAAAGAGCTGAAATCAATGAAATAGACATCAAAAAAACCATACAAAGAATTAATGAAACAAAAGTTCGGTTCTTTGAAAAATAAACAAGACCAAAGACCCCTGGCAAACCTGAATAAATGAGGAGAAAAACCAAAATTAGTAGAATCAGGAATGCAAAAGGGAGATAACAACAACACCATGAAGTCCAGGAAATCATCAGAGACTACTTTGAGAACCTATATTCAAATAAATTTGAAAAATCTTAAAGAAATGGACAGATTCTAGATACATATGATCATCCAAAACTGAACCAAGAGGAATTAATCACTGGAATAGATCTAAAAAGAAAATGAAATTGAAGCAGCAATCAAGAGTCTCCCAAAAAGAAAAGTCCAGACTGATGGATTCTCTGCTGAATTCTATCAGACCTTTAAAGAAGAACTGATACCAACCTCCTTAACTGTTCCATGAAATAGAAAAGGAAAAACTGCCTAACACATTTTATGAAGCCAGTATTACACTTATCCCAAAACCAGGCAAAGACACTCCAAAAAGGAGAACTAGAGGCAATCTCCTTAATGAACATGATGCAAAAATCCTCAACAAAATAATGGCAAACCGAATTCAACAACACATCAAAAGATTATTTCACGACCAAGTAGGCTTCATCCCAGGAATGCAGGGGTATTCAACATAGAAAATCAATAAACATAATAAACACATTACAGAAGCAAAGACAAAAACCACTTGATCATTTCAATAGATCCAGAAAAAGCCTTTGATAAGATCCAACATCATTTCATGATAAAAGCTCTAAGAAAACTAGGAATAAAAGGAAAGTACCTCAACATTATAAAAGCTATATATGACAAACCTACAACAGCCAGCATTATACTTAATGGAGAAAAACCGAAACCACTCCCTCTAAAATCAGGAACCAGACAAGGATGCCCACTATCTCCACTCCTATTCAACATAGTACTGGAATCCTAGCCAGAGCAATTAGGCAAGAAGAAGAATAAAAGGAATAGAAATAGGTAAAGAAACTGTCAAAATATCCCTATTTGCAGATGACATGATCCTATACCTTAAAGACCCAAAAAACTCTACTCAGAAACTCCTTGACACCATCAATAGCTACAGAAAGGTAGCAGGATATAAAATCAACATAGAAAAATCATTAGCATTTCTATACACTAACAATGAACAAACTGAAAAGAATATATGAAACATATCCATTTACAATAGCCTGCAAAAAAAATCAAATACCTAGGTGTAAACTAACAAAAATGTGAAGACCTCTACAAGGAAAACTATAAACTTTGAAGAAAGAGTTGAGGAAGACTATAGAAAGTGGAGAGATCTCCCATGCTCATGGATTGGTAGAATCAGCATAGTAAAAATGTCTATACTCCCAAAAGTAATCTACATGTTTAATGCAATTCCCATCAAAATTCAACTCTAAAGTTGATACAGGAAAGAGTAGGAAATACTCTGGAGTTAGTAGGTATAGGTAAGAACTTTCTCAATGGAATCCCAGCAGTTCATAGCATTGATAAATGGGACTTCATAAAACTAAAAAGCTTCTGCTCAACAAAAGAAATGGTCTCTAAACTGAAGAGACCACCCACAGAGTAGGAGAAAATATTTGCCAGCTACACATCAGACAAAGGACTGATAACCAGAATATATAGGGAACTCAAAAAACTAAATTCTCCCAAAACTAATGAACCAATAAAGAAGTGGGCAAGTGAACTAAACAGAACTTTCTCAAAAGAAGAAATTCAAATGGCCAAAAAACACATGAAAAAATGCTCACCATCTCTAGCAATAAAGGAAATGCAAATTAAAACCATACTAAGATTCCACCTCACCCCTGTTTGAATAGCCATCATTAGCAACACCACCAACAACAGGTGTTGGCAAGGATGTGGGCAAAAGGAACCCTCTTACACTGATGGTGGGAATGTAAACTAGTACAACCGCTCTGGAAAAAAATTTGGAGGCTACTTAAAAAGCTAAACATTGATCTACCATTTGATCCAGCAATACCACTCTTGGGGATATACCCAAAAGACTGTGACACAGGTTACTCCAGAGGCACCTGCACACCCATCTTTATTGCAGCACCATTCACAATAGCCAAGTTATGGAAACAGCCAAGATGCCCCACTACTGACGAATGGATGAAGAAAATGTGGTATCTATACACAATGGAATTTTATGCAGCCTTGAAGAAGAACGAAATGTTATCATTCGCTGGTAAATGGATGGAATTGGAGAACATCATTCTGAGTGAGGTTAGCCTGGCCCAAAAGACCAAAAATCGTATGTTCTCCCTCATATGCAGACATTAGATCAAGGGCAAACACAACAAGGGGATTGAACTTTGATCACAAGATAAAAAGCGAGAGCACACAAGGGAGATATGAGGATAGGTAAGACACCTAAAAAATTAGTTAGCATTTGTTGCCCTCAATGCAGAGAAACTAAAGCAGATACCTTAAAAGCAACTGAGGCCAACAGGAAAGGGACCAGGAACTAGAGAAAAGGTTAGATTAAAACGAATTAACCTAGAAGGTAACACACATGCACAGGAAATTAATGTGAGTCAACTCCCTGTATAGCTATCTTTATCTCAACTAGCAAAAACCCTTGTTCCTTCCTATTATTGCTTATACTCTCTCTTCAACAAAATTAGAGATAAGGGCAAAATAGTTTCTGCCGGGTACCGAGGGGGTTGGGGGGAGAGGGAAGGGGCGGGGTGGGTGGTAAGGGAGGGGGTGGGGGAAGGGGGGGGAATGACCCAAGCATTGTATGCACATATGAATGATAAAAAAATTAAAATTAAATAAAGAAATAATAAAATAAAGAAGGGGGAAATAAATAAATAGGTGATTAAGTTATTTGAGTCTAGCATGGGCTCTATTCCAACTTGAATGGTGTCCTTGTTAAGAGAAAATTTGGACACAGAGAAATACAAGAGGTTCTTGTGCACAAAGGGACAACTATATGAGGACAAAGCAGTGAGAAGGAATCCATCTACAAACCAGACGCCCATGTCAATTCCTTCCCCTCTAGCCCTTAGAGGAAACCAATCCTACTGGCACCTTGATTTTGAACATCTAGCCTTCAGACAGTGAAAAAGAAAATAAATTTCTGCTGTTTAAGCCACTCAGTGTGTGCCATAAATGGCAGCCCAACAAACTTAATAGATAATGACACAATGTATTCTTTATTATCAAAGATTTGGAGTTTGTAGCATATATCTGATGTACATATTGCTACTATGATAAACACATGCTTTCTGGTATTTTTCTGATATTTTCAAAAATACTAGAAAGCAAATAAATAAATGTATTTCAAAGTTTTATTCTTCCCTTCAAAAGGCAACATCTCAAAATCACAATGATAATATACCACTTCATACCCATTTATCATTTCCCTCAAAATGGGAAATAAAAAGTGTTGATAAGGATGTGGAAACATTACCTCAAGCATTCTTGAGGGGTTGTAAAATAGTGAAATGTCTATGGAAAACAGCTTGGTGATTCCTCAGAAATTTAAACATAGAAGGCTGGGCATGGTAGCTTATACTTATAATTCTACTTACTTAAGGTGGTGGAGATTGGGAGGATCATGATTGGAGGCCAGCCCCAGGTAAAAGTTAGCAAGACTCAATTTCAAGCATTTGTTGGGGCATAGTGGCATATGCCTATTAGCCCAGCTACATGGGAAGCATATGTAGGAGAACCATGGTTCAAGCCAGCCTGGCAAAAACATAAGACTCTACTCAAAAAATAACTAAAGCAAAAGGCCTGGAGGAATGGTTCAAGTGGTAGAACACCTGCCTAACAAGTACAGGCCCTTAGTTCAAACCCTAGTACTGCCAAAAAAATAAATAAAAAAGAAAGTTAAATATAGAATTACCAGTAATTCCATTCATATGCATATGCCTCAATGAATTGAAAGAAAGATTTCAAAGAGAATTTGTATAACTATGTTCATAAGCAGTATTCATAATGGCCAAAAGGTGAAAGTACCCCAGTACCTATCAACAGATAAATGGATAAATAAAACGAGTTATATATACAAACAATGGAATATTATTTGGCCTTAAAAAAGAATGAATTTTTATAATGCTATATGGATGAAACTTGAAAATATGATAAATGAAATAAAGTCAGATACAAAAGGACAAATATTTTATGACTGCAAGTATATAAGGTCCCTATAACAGGCAAATTCATAGAGACAGGAGAATAGTGGTTTACCAGGTGCTAGCAGCAAGGGGAAATGATGTGTTATTCCTTAATAAGTACAGAAATTCTGTTTAGGATGGACAAGTTCTGGAGATTAATAGTGTTGATCATTAAACATTGAGAATATAGTAATGATACTAAATTGCACACTTTAGACAGTTAAAATGGTATATTATATGTCTTATCACAATAAAAAAGGCAATACCTGAGAAAATGGAATGTCGTAATCTCTGTAGAAACCAGTTCTTTTTTTATGGGAACTTCCTGTATGTTCAATATCTGAATCAAGGCTGTAGTTTGAACTATCATCACTAGGAGAACTGTGCTAAAGGGAAGGAAAAATGTGTTACATTCCAAAAAGAAGGAAATTTAACTTGTAACTAGATATGCTTTATTTCAGTCAGAGGTGCCAACCAGTAGGTTATATATTCCAGCAGAATTTTTTAGTATTACTAAAAAATTCTTGCAAAGGCCCCACCGTGCCAACTTCTCTGAGGTTTGCTGGGGGGTAGTGTTTTTTTCCCTGTGCATAGGAATTTATGGCAGCACATTTCTCATCATTCCTTTGGACCAAAGGACTTTAAATAGAAGTCCCTTGGGCTCGAAAATGATCCTACACTTAAGCTAATCTAAAGGAAGCAAAATTGGACCCAAGAGTGTCCTAGAACCCCAGTAGAGTATGCATTAATTTACTTTCACCTAAATGGCTTTAGTGTTTATTCTATTACATGGGTACCCAAAAACTAAAAGACACAAAAGTATTCCAAATTACCTGTGTGAAATAGAGCCAACCCACAAAATTAAGCAAAAGAGAAATAAAAACCACAAGTAATTGATAATGACTGACAAATACCAAGTGTAAGCTTTTTAAGTCTGAGTCCAATTTCCAAAAAGAGTCACCAAATTTTTCCTGTCTGGTCAACATAATTACTTCCCAAGATAAGCACTCTTTTTAAAGAGTTCTTAAAGTTCTTAGTAATGAAGACACTGACTTTGTATTTTATCATCCTTGCATTTCCAGCATCTAGCACAAACTCAGTAAAATTTTCCTGAATTAAAGTCTGATGGTCCATTCCATTCTTACATGTTCTTGTAGGAAGACATACTGCTTCCCTCCACTTTGTAAGTGCTCTGAGATTTGGTTTTGGTTTTGTGGTCCTGTAAGTTTTGCTTTTGTTGATTTGATAGGTGATATGAAGAAATCTTTTTTTACTTATGCTGCCAAATGCTTCAAGTATCTAGTCATCATTGATTAGGGTTGAAATAAACATTGTTCAGTTACAAATAAAGTTTGCTCAGTCACTACCATCCACTTGACTGATCTCTTTGGATAGGTACACTGGTATATCTCATATTATTAGCATGCTCTATTTCTTCTTGCATTTGCTGTAATTCTTGCTTTATGATAGTTACTGCTCTGGGGAATACAAAGTATCTACTAACATCATCATTGTAAATTGTAATCTTTAACATTATAAAATGCCCTTCTTTGTTTCTTTCAACGCCTCTTTTTTACCTGAATTTAAATTTAACTTTTTCAGATAGCAATATTGTGATTTCTACCCTTTCTTTTTCTTTTTTTTTTTTTCAGTACTGGAGTTTGAATTCAGGTCTTGTGCTTGCAGGCAGGTACTCAACTACTTGAGTCATTCTTGTCTGATAAAGCTTTACAATTCTTTATATCTTTCTTTTATTCATAGCCTACAGTTAAATTTTACATTATTGGGCAATTGTACATTTTACATTATTGGGCAACTGTACCTTTTGGCTGTATTTTTGTTTGAATGACTTCCTTCATACTACCTTTATTTGATAATCTTAGTGCTTACCGTTGCCTGCTATTTATTTACTAATAGAAGCAATACTGATGGAGAGGGAAGGGTACATATTAAAGAGTAATAGAGGGGATAAATTTGATCAAAGTTCATTAGATCCTTGTATGGAAATATCACAATGAAACCCATTTGTACAATTAATATACGCTTTTTTAAAAAAAGCAGTATTTAAATTAGGCAGCAACCTAATTTTTCTTTCTTGCATTCCCAAGGTAAAAATTTGAGGTACTATCCTTTTACTGTCATTTAATAACTACAAGACAACCAGCAAGTTTATCCTACTTACCATATATTCTTGTGTTTCCTGAGAGTTTTTGTTTTGTTTTTGAGATAGGGTCTTGCTATGTCGCCCAAGCTGGCCTTGAATTCATGATCTTCCTGCCTCAACTTCCTGAGTATTGATAGTAAAGTATGTGCCACCATGCCTGGCTTTTCCTGACATTCTTTATAGTTTTAATATTCTACATAAAGTATTGCCCCTCATATACATCATTTCGTCCTAATTTTACAAATAAATATATGTGTGCATGCAAATCACCCTCTTCCCTAATGACTTTGATTATCTGAACTTGTTCTCTAGAAAATTTGATAGAAAGGCTTGTGGTAATAATAGTTCCTGAGTTCTTGAGTATACAATTTGCTTGAATACTATTTTTGAAGGTATTTTTATAGCCAGTATTTAGCTGGCTGTAAAATTCCTAGATTACATCTTATTTCCTTGATTGTCTTGCTTAGTTTTGTTACTGCATTATCTTCTGGCATAAAATTCTTAATGATCAAAATTTTTATATAAATTTGATTTTTTTAATAAAGGAGTTAAGAGTTTTTTGCATAAATGGCCAAAGAATTTTTTTGGTGACAGAGTCTCACTATTTAGCCCAGGCTAACCTTGAATCTACTGTGTAACCCAGGCTAGCATAGAACTCTAATTCTCCTGCCTCAGCCTTCCAAGTGCTAGAATTACAGGCATCTGCCACTATGCAAATTCTATCTTTGTTGTTTGATCATAGCTTGTATTTTTTTTTAATGTTTAGCACTTTTAAATGTTAGGTTAAATTACTCATAAGCTTGTGGGCATTCTTCTTTTCCAGAGGAGTTATCATTCTATATTCTATATTCTATTTTTTTTCCTTATAACTTCTCTAGAATGTGACAATAGTCGTATCTTGAGTCTCATGAGCAATAAAAGGATGGAATGGTATTCCCAATATTTACTTCCTTAGGGTAGAACTCTGTCCTAGAAAAGGGATTTAGTTATTAGTATGAGGAACTCATCCTGATCATTGTAACACCATCCAATTTTCTGTAGTTTCCTTATATTTAAGTGTGAACTGGAACTAATAAGATGCCCTCTTGGTCTCTGTTGCTATCCTCAGAAAGGCCCAAAAGATTTCCATGTTGAATGGGGACTCCTCCGTTTGAGATGAGTGCCTGTTGGACATCTTCCTGGAGGTTCCTTTATCTTCGCTCTACTTCGTTTCACACAGTCGCTAATTCTATATTGGTTATGTTGCTGTCTATAATCTGAACCTATCTATTTGTACTTTTAAGGTTTGTGGGGATAACTTGTTATTTCAATTTTTTTCTTGTAGATGTTGTCAGTGAGTTTTTGGTTTTGCTATTCTAATTGCTATGGGGGAAATTCAGGGAGTTTCAAAAACCACCCCATCACTGCTGCCAACTTTTCCCTGATTTTGCAGTCAGCACAGGTTCCTTTCTTGACCACCCCAAACTCATATTATCCTCCATCAAGCACCCTATTGTTTTCTTGGTAACATTTGCCTTTTATTTGTTCACTTCCTTTCTCCTGCCTGTTTCCATTATTTTCTATAAGAGCAATTTTTCATTTACTGCTACAATTCCCAGTATATAGTAAGAGGCTTCCACAATAAGCATAGGTTAATACATATGAATGAATGAATACATGGAAAGTGCCAACACTGTTAATCTATGGAGAATGAAACTTTCCTTAACCTTCCAATATCTTGGCTTACAATCTCCCATCCATAAAAAAGTGTCTTTTAAATTTGCATCAGGATTTACCTTGATTATTTTTTAAATCTTTAAGATAATTCATATAATCCTTATGTTTAGAAAATGTTAATCACTTAGATAAAAATATTTAATCTGCATATTTGATGAGAAAACAGGCAATGATTATACTTTCTAATTTTCAGTATTTTATGTTTTATAAAAATTTACCAAAAGAAAAGAAAGCTGATTGTACTAACCTTATGTTTCTCACGTTTTCTCCTTTTGGATTTTTTCTTCTCTCTTTCTTTCTTGTGTTTTTTCCTTGATTTTCTGTAGGCTTTCTCATTTTTCTGCTTTTCGTTCTCTTTTGCTTCCTGTTCTTGTGTTTCTTCAATTCCTGCATCATCAATTTCACCATCTTCTAACTCACCATCTTCTCTGTAGAAAAGAATGAAAGTTTAAATTTTCAAATATTAGTTCTAAGCCAATCTGAAAGAAATATTTTCAAAAAAAAGCATGGAAATCATTTTTTTATAAAGGGCAGGAGAGTAAATATGTTACATTTGCAGACCATACATGATTTCTGTTGCCAATTATTCTTCCTCTTTTTTTCCCTTAAAATAACAACCTTTAAGAATGTAAGAACCATTCTTAGCAGCCAAAGTTTGCCAACCTCTAATTTAGACTCAGATCACTAAGTCTAAATGAATGAATGAATGAATGCAGTGCTAGTGCAAGTATTATAATAATTGACATCGGCTAAACTACCTTCAAGAACAAAAAGCTAAACTAAAATACTTGAGGAAATACTCTAATTGCGAGAAAAAAATTTAACTTAGTAGCCTAGGCAGCTATAGTTTTAAAAGAAATTTATATTATTTCTTACCAACAAAGTAAATTTCAAAATGAACAAATTTTAAGACACAGATAAGTAACAAAACCCAAGCCACAAAAGAATCTTAAATTCTTCAACTTAAATCTATAAACAATATTCATAGTAAAATTATACATCTAATTCCATTTTTCAAATACCAGTAGGTTTGCTATTAGTGGAACTGAATCCTAGATATTTAATATTTATATTAAACTATTTTTATAGTTATAGAAGCCAAAAATATTCTTTAATAGTATTTTTAAATGCAGATAAGCCAAATGATAGACATGGGAAGATGAGTATATAAAACAATTTTAACACTTAATCATGCTTCAGAACACTGCAGCTTGAAAAAAAATGCAAACTATAAGAAAGACAAATGTCTTTGTACAACTGGCAGAAATGAGATATCTATGATGTGTGCATCTTAAAGGGAAGTTATAATTACTAGGAATGCATGATTTCTAAAATGCAAAATTGGTTATGTCATTCTCCTACTAAAAATCATCAATAATGATATGCTATCTCAAATTTGCTCCAAAATAATCCACTAGAAATAGAGGAAATGGTCTCAATAAGATTGGCCATGAGCTGGCAGTCTCTGAAACTGTGGAATGTATATTTAAGGGTTAAATCTACTATTCTTTTTATGCTTAAAGTTTTCTATAATGAAAAGACAATCTTCAATAGTTTCCTTCTAGCATGAGGATGAGATCAAATCTTTTTTTCCCTTCCAATACCTATCTACTTTATTAAGGCTGACCAACATGGAACGCATATATCTAAACATTTATTTTAAATTTTCAGTGATGTTTAGATTATAAGTTATTTTTCAATAATTAGTTAATTTAGGGACATTGGTTTGTATTTCAACATTTACATATATCTAAACATTTATTTTAAATTTTCAGTGATGTTTAGATTATGAGTTATTTTTCAATAATTAGTTAATTTAGGGACATTAGTTTGTATTTCAGATAAAAGAATTATCTTTAGGACACAGACAAATCTTAATAGTATCAAAGGCCTTTTATAATTGAGTCTCTGCTGACTTAGCTACTTTCAATTTCTCAAGTCTCCAATCCTTAAACATTATCTAAAAAACTCTTACTGCCCTGCTCATCTCAATAACTGCCCCCCCTTTTGTCACCTGATTAATTCCAATACAATATTTAAGAACCAGTTTACATGTCATTTTCTTCAAGATGCCTCTTCTTACCACCCAAGATTATTTGAGATGCTCCAGTGTAAGTGCCCCTCTAATAACTCTTATCAGAGTTGTGATTACCTCTTGGAGGAACATAACTGACAAAAAGAAAAGGGTACCAAGACTTCTGGGGTGCTGAAATATTCTCTACATTGATCTGTGTTGTGATTACCTGTATGTAAATATATTTGAAAAAATTCATCAAGTAGTAAATGGAAGAATTATACACCTTACTGTCTATACTTATTCCACAATAAAAATTTAAATACAAATGATGAAAAAAATCTATGGGTGTTTACACATTCTTTTACTACCTATCTCCCACACCTTCAGTTTCTTACAGTATAAAAACTTTAATATCTAGAAATCAGTAATTCATATTTAGAAATTGTTTTGGCAGTACTGGGTTTTGAGCTGAGGACCTCATGCTTATTGGGTAAGCGCTCTACCACTTGAACCACTCCACCATGTGCATTGGGTATTCTTGAGATAAGGTCTTGCTTTTTGCCTGGGCTGGCTTTGAATCACGATCTTCCTAATCTCTACCTCCTGAGTAGCTAGGATTATAGGGATGACCCACCTGTGCCTGGACATATTTGGCATTTTTACTGGAGTTATTTAAAAATATAAAGCATACAAGCAGAAAACAGTACTTACAAATACATGTGCTACTTTGCATAAATTACTGAAGTGTGAAGTAAGGGTTTTTGTAAATTTGTTATTAGACATAAATCACTGTTGTGAGTTTTTAAAATTGTTTCTTTCTTCTCTCTTAGCCTATTGATCATTTCAACATTCATACAAGAATAGATACAAACTTGTGAACTTATTTGTGTTTAGCTACAAAATGGGACAGAAAGAGGAAGTAGAATACAATAATTCATACTCCTATGAACAGCTTCCAAATGCTTTAAAAAGTCAGTTTTGAGCACATATAAATGGCATAATGGAAAGAGAAGGAGAATTAACAGGAGGAAAGCTGGATTCTAATTCTAGCTCTGCCATCAAAATAAAATAATGCTTTCTTGATTGAGCACTAGTACTGTATCAGATATTAATCTAGTTCTATGATCTTGAGAAAAAACAATAGAAAAGAGAAGTACTTAAGAGTGCTTGGCATTCTCTAGATTTTGAACTATCTCAACACTATTATAAGAACTATTTTACTAAATCCAAGACACTGTTAAAAGAGTAAATCAAAAAGAGAAGTTTCAACTATGTGTGGTAGTACATGCCTGTAATTCTGGCTACTCAGGAGGCAAAAGCGGGAGAATCACCACGTCACACCAACAGGGTCAAAGTTAGGGAAACTGCATCTCAAAAAAAAAAACCCAAAAACAAACAAATAAAGGGCTGGAGACAGTTCAAGTGGTAGAGTGCTTGTCTATCATGTTCAAGGCCCTGGATTCAATCCCCAGTAGGAGAGACAGGAAAGACAGAAAAAGAGAGAGAGAGGGAGGGAGGAAGTGAGGTGGAGTGGGAGGGAGAGGGAGAAGGAAGGAAAAGGAGGGAGAGACAGATCCTAAGTCATCCATATAGATAAATTCTTACTATAGAAATAGTAATTATGTTCTTTTCAGGAAAGTGGCATAAGTTCACATACCAAAGACCGGTAAATAACTGTCCAGTTAATAAAAAAAAGTAAAGAGTTTACCTATTAGGGAACTCCACAGAGATGGAAAGTAAATTGGGGTTGCCAGGTAGATTAGAAGGAAGAATGAGGGATGATTTTATTAACGGGTATGGGGTTTCTTTTTGAAATGATGAAAATGTTCTATAATTAGATAGTGGTAATGACTGTACAACTCTGCATATATTAAAATCCAATGAATTATATGCTTTAAAAGGGTGAACTATATCTCAATAAAGTTATTTTTTAAAAGTTAATGTCTAAATTGGAGACAAATGGAGAAAGCCATAATATATACTACAGTATAAATTAAATACTCTGAAATTGGTCAGTACCCTCACTATCCATGGTATGTTTTTATTCTAAAAGTAATTATTCAGAAGCCAGTTGTGGTGGCTAATGTCTGTAATCCTACTACTAGGGAGGCTGAGGAAAGAAGATTGCAAGTTCAAGGCCAGCCTGGGCTATAGAGCAAAACTCTGTCCCAAAAAAAAAAAAAAAAAAAAGTTCTGAAGGTAATTATTTACCAAATCCTTACAAATTAATATGCCTCAATATAGGATTCTGCTTTTCTCCATTCTGATATTGTTGACTATTAAAATAAATTAACCTGAACATTCAGTCTTACCTCCACAGGTAGTGTCTGCCTTTTCTTTAGGATTGCCTAAAGGCTGCTGTTACAAGCTACAGATCAGAAACTGAGTCTTCTGGAAAAAACACAAAAGCCTCAATAAAAGACTATGCAAACACTCCTGATGGATATTACATAGACATTACTCATGAATAAAAACTTTCTGGATAAGCTGTTATGATTACCACAAAACAGACTTTCCTTAGACATACTAAGTTACTATGTCAAGATGTCTTTACAGTCCCAAGGGAAGACAATCTAAGAGAACCAGACTGCTTGTCCTAAAACCATGAATCTCCTAAATACTTAAAACTACTACTTATTAACACTTTTCTTTCATGCTTTTATACTAATTCATGCAGTCATTTCTCCATTAACATGGATAAGGCGGGAAACTGCTCTGGTGCCTTGTGACCTGGTGTGTTGCAACAAAGGCAAGCATCCACAACAGGTTGACTTTAGCCTTGGAACAATGTCATGTGATCTTCCATAATGTGGATCGACAGGCAGCAGTTTTATGAGTGGTGCTACAAAGCTATTTCTCACTAACCTCCCTATTTTATGGGAGGGAGTGGCCATAAGGTAGTTTCTTATGCACCTTTCCAGGTTCCAATGAGGTTGAGATTTGTCACCTTCCCCACTCCTTAGCATAGTTTCAGGCTCAAAAAAAGAAAGTTTAATGGTGAAGGGGATGAATTTAAGTATGATATTCTTGATATATTTTAAGAACTTTTGTAAATGCCACAATGTACCCCCACCCAACACAATTTTTAAAAATGTTTCCATGGTATGGAAACACTTCCTCAGCAACAAAGTACCCAGCAGTCCATGATGCCTATCATCTAGCCCCTTTGGCTTCAGTGTTATCCTGTGATGCAAGAAACATGAGCAGCTGACACTATGCTGCTGATCATGCCTTTGTTGTCCATGTAATAAACTTTCTGGATCCTACTGGCTGAGTCAGTCAACATGCTTGATAGACAACTTGCTTGCATCTGGTCTTTTCCTATGCCTACTCTGATTTTTTTTTCTCTCAAACTATATGTAGCATATCTATGGTCTTTTTCATTTTTTAGTACTGAGATTTGAACGCTGG